CGTGAGTACTTCGAGGCATTTTCACAAGCGTCATTTTAGCTGGTCCTCCTAAGAAGGACTCACTCCGAGTCCCATTTTACAGATGAGTAAGCTGAGACTCAGAAGATAAAGACCTCACCCATGTCACATAGTTAATAAATCTCAGAGCTGAGATGGGAATGCAGGGTTCTAAACGTCAAGTTCAGGGCCTCATCTGACAAGGCAAAGGACAGTTATTCATGAAGCACTTAGAGAACAGATCGGGAAAAATGGGATGGATTATAACCAGCTCATGTAGCTCCTTGGTGGCTGAACAGCATATCTCAAAAACCAACTAGAGGAATGAGGTCAGTCTGGGAAAAGATCTCCAGTAGGGGACCACAACACTCTATCCCGTGCAACCCTTTATCATTCTTGTGGACAGCGACTGCAGCTAACCTAGGACCAGGAGGCAGACCCAAGATGCCAAAAGCACGATCGTAATTCAACATGATCTTCACAGCCAGACAACAGACTGAATCTACCAAATGACAAGTCTACTAAATAACAAAGATAAATGCAAAATCTCATATTGAGGGTCAAAAATCCGATCGCGAAGTTTGAGCTGGGAGAATCCTGTTTGGACATGTAAGTGGGTGGTGCAGGACACCCCCTCTGGGGAAAACATCGACGCGTGGACCCGGGGTCCAGAGGGTGTGACCCGACTGGTAAAGGGACAAGAGACAGTGATATAGAGAGGAAGTACTGATAGAAATAATCACTTTCTAAATCTGCCCAAAAGTGGGGGCACCTGGGTGGCTCAGTCGGTTAAGGGTCTGCCTTCGCCTCAGGTCATGATCCCAGGGTCCTGGCATCAAGCCCCACGGTCGGCTCCCTGCTCCACGGGGAGTCTGCTTCTCCCTCTGCCTCTGTCCCCCCCCGCCGCCCCCACATGTGCCCCCCCTCAAATAAATAAAATCTTTAAAAATAAATAAATCAATCTGCCCAAAAGTGGACTAATAGGGCTGTGTGAGCTGTCCTCAGATATTGAAAGAACATGCAGAAGAGAAAATCAGCTTCCTCTGTGCATCTAAGGAGGGTTGAATTTGGGATGAATGGAATTTTATATATAACTATTTATATATATATATTTTATATATAACTATTATAGATCTTAAATATCATTGTTCCAGAAGTTGCTCTCACATTTAACTTCTGTCTGTTTCAATTTCCTCCTCTGTGAAATGGGGCCAATAAATACAATAATAGTAGTAATAATACCTTCTGAATGGGGTGGTTGTAAGCATTAAATTATTTACTATATGTAAATACTTGGAACCTGTGCCCAGCATATCACTGTTACAGAAGTGTCTGCTATTAGCATTCTTTTCTTTTTTAAAAGATTTTATTTATTTGAGAGAACATGAGCAGGGGACGGGCTGAGGGTGAGGGAGAAGCAGACTTCCTGCTGAGTGCAGGCCGAACAGGGGTTTGACCCACGGCTCAACCCCAGGACCCTGAGATCATGACCTGAGCCAAAGTCTCACGCTTCAAGTCGGATGCCTCTGCTATTAGTATTCTCTATTGCTGTTATTGTCATTATTGGTCTCTTCCTGAAGCCAAAGGGAGTTCCTCTGGTTGTAAACAGTGTCTGGTCCCCCTTTGCATCCCTAGCATTCTACGGTGGCACACAGTAGGTATCCACACATTCTTGTTGACACTTAGAGGTGAACTGTCATTCCCAGTGGGTGTTAAATGTTCTAGGAACCGAGGTTGCTCAAAAATAGTGCTCTGGCAGGCATGTGTGGGGCCAATCCCTGGCAGGCAGCGTGAGTCCAGCAGGGGACACCCTAAGATTCTGTAATACCCATCTCCTCATTTCCAAGGCCCCACCGCCCCTGGCCAGGACAGCTGTCTGGCAAGGGAGGAGCAGGGATCACCCGCCCACACATTTTTCAAAGGGGGAACGGAGAGGCGATCCCTATTACATCCCTCCTCCCAGTGAGAAGGTTCCTGGGACCCTTCCTACCTGGTCATCCTGCCTTCCCTGGGACACGCAGAAGGCCCTGGCAAACCTTGATGCAAATAGTGCTCGACTTCCTGGGCTAAAATTACATCTTGAGTCAATTTTCATAAAACGCATTGACAGATTTAGGTGCTGGAAGATGGAGCTTTCTCAGAAGGCATTTAAAATGACCCAAACAGTTAAAATCAGCTGAAACCTGACAGCCAGGGGCTGAGAGAACAGCTTTCATCCCTCTGTAGCCTTGTGCAAACCCCGGGGTCTGGACCTTGCCTGCGGAAACCGCTGTGCCTGCACTTGACTCCTCCTGGTCACAGGATGATTACCTCTCAGCCAAGGTTCTGCTAACAGACGTTTTGCAAGGAACTAACAAGTGGGAGCCCGTTCCTGTTTATGAGCAAAAGCAGTCTTCCATCCCAGGGGCAGTTCCAGAGATGGATCCGGATTTTTTGTTTTAAATTCTCCATTCCTGTACTGTCCTCTGTGGGTCATAGAGAGAATCAGGCAAAGAAATAGGGTCCCGGTATGTCTGAGTGTGTCTTCTCTTCTCCAGAAATAGCTTGAAACCTGAGCTCTGCCACCACCACCCCTGAAGGCTGCGCATGGTGGTGACTGTCCATGGGGCAGCCTCTCTGATCTCTACGGACCCTCCTGCTCTGACCTCCTGACCCCACAGCCCCAGTTGCCCTCAGCCTGAGAGCCGTGAGCTCCCTTAGCTGCCTCTTCCTCTGTTTTGCCCCACCTCGCTCATCTGCTCGCTGTCCATCCTGGGCTGTCTCGCTTTGCCCCTCTGGATCCACTGCCTTGTCCACCCTGCCCTGTGCCTGGGAGGCAGACCTGAGTGGACGGCATCAACAGTCCCCCACGCTAGGGCTTCCGGTGGGGTTATACCAGGGGGAGGCACCGGCAGGAGAGCAGAGGGTGGAAAGAGAGTTATGTTGCCCGGGCTCCTCTTGGGAAGTCCCCTTGGGGTTCCAGGAACCTTGGCCTCCCCTGACCTCCTCAGGCCGGGAATAGCAATGGCTTTCTACTGTTGCCAGCCTGGTGATTCATCACCCCTCTTTGGTTTCCCTAAACCCCGAGCGTTCCTTTATAAATAGCCCCTTATTACTTCACCCAGCTACCCAAGTGCAGACTGACCTGCCCATGTTGCCCCCCCCCAACCCGCGCCTTCGCTTCTGCCACCAGCTGTGCTGCTGGGCCCTCGTGCCATGTCCCCCAGCTTCACTGAAACCCAGCTCCTCCAAGCGGATGCTCCCACTGCACTGGGGTCCTGCTGCCCTGCTTCCACCACCGGAGGCCGGTCCTGGCCCGACAACGTAGAGCCAGACGATCCCTGAAGTTCCTCGTGACCCCCATTCTCCTCTGCTCCATATCACACACCCCTTGGCCAGATGCCTTGTGTTTGGTCCCATTTTGATTTGTAAAAGTCCAGTGAGCTATCAAAGTGCTTGGGCTAAACATGGCGTGCTGGCTGGAACTTTCTCTCCTCTGAACTCCCCTCTTATTCTCACGGACACTTCTCTGCTCCCCATTTTCTCTGTTAGGATTATTCCCGCGGGTGACTCTCCCCTCCTAGGCGGCAAACTCCGAGTCTAGCTCACGATTTTGGTGAAGCGCTGCTTTTTTGACTATCTCCCTCTTTCTCCACTGCACCCGGTATGTTGCCTGGGACACATAAATGCTCACTGCTGCAAATATCGACCGACTGGCGGAGTGACCGGGAGGCCCTGCACATTCTGGATGATGCCATGCAATGGGATTTGCCAAGCAATGACTACACACCAGCCACCTTACATCCATCCCCTTGTTTCGCCCTCACCACAGGCCTACCAGGGAGGTGTTATCCCCATATTACACATGTGGAAACCGAGGCACAGTGAGGGTGAGCAACTTGCTCCAGGTTCCACCTCCAGAGAGGGCTAGAGCCAGCAGCGAGGCCTCCCGCCTTTCGTCTGCTCCGCCCTGAGGGTGCAGGTGGAAATGATGCCACGTGGACAAGCAGGGACCCTGACCCAAATGGAGACGAGTCGCAATTACTGAATGTCACTAATGGCTAGTAGAGCAATGCCCTTCTGAAGAGGCCCTTCCAGACTTTCCTGAATGAATCACTACATTAGCACACTGCTGCTTTCTATGAAGCTTGGCCAAAAGGCCTCAAAAGTAATTAGTTCACTTAAGTAGGCTAAATGTTTCTCCAGCAATCTGGTTTCCACTTTAATTGGCTTAGAGTGTGGAGAGGGTGAAAAAAGTAAACTTTAGCCCGGCCCCTGTGGAAATATTTCCCATACATTTTATGAGTAAAATTCACCCCCTTCGGCCACTTGCTCCTGCCACGCCTGGGGGTAAGGGGTGCGGAGCAGCACAAGTGATGCTCCAACAAGGAAGAGGAGGTTGGTTAATGAAGAGTCTGGGCTACTGAGGATTGACTGGCTATTCTCATTCTTGTCGTGTCATCTGGGAGGGACTCCCCAGGCTCCTGGCAGAGCTCGGAAGCCAAGCTAAAGAGTTGGGACTTGATTCAAAGCAGAGAAAAGTCACTGAAGGTTTCCAGGCCAGGGAATCACCTAACTGAATGCTCACGTTGCTCGGAAACCAAGGGAAGGCTGGTGTAGATAAGACATGGCCCTAGATGCTATACCCAGGCTTAGGTCTTTTTTGTTGGGCCTGGACTCCCTTTGTCTCCCCCCTCAGACTGGGGCTCCCTGAGGCAGGGTTGTCTCTC